TATAATAATAAAAATATTAAAGAAAAAATATGAATATATATAGAAACAAAAAGAAAATGAAGAATTATTATATAAAATATAAGAAATATAAAAGAATAAATAAAATAAAGGAAGGAGAAAGAAATATTTAAAATTAAAAATAATTAATAATAATATCATAAAGATTAATGAAAATACATATTGATAATATATAATTAAAATAATATAATTGAAAAGATCAAAAATAAAAAAAAATATAAAAAAATAAAAGAACAAAATTAAAAATAAAGATAGAAATATGAAATATTAAGAAAAAAGTAAAACTGAAATATGAAATTAAAAATAAAATATTAAAAGATTAAAAATAAAAGGTAAAATAGTAAATAAAAATATAAAATATTATAAAATAATTAGAAATTAAATAGAAATTTAAAATAGATATGATATTAGAAGAATATTAGTGAAAAATAAAATTAGATATAGAAATACAGTCAACTCTTGTTATAACGAACTCTATGTCCTAGACCTCAACTTTACTATAAGGTTATAGTGAAGATTTTAAGAGATTTGATTGGCCAATTCACTATAACATGAGTATTTTTATTATATAAATTAATTATTTATATAATTTTAAAATTATAATATTATACTAAAATAATTTATTTATTAATATATATTATTAAAAATTGATTTTTTAAGTAAAATAAAAATATTTATAAAAAAAAAAAATAATAAAATAAGCCTTCTATATAATTACTCATTTAGTTTCCTAAAAATTAGTACTTATATAAACATGTAATTGTTATAAAAGTGTAAATTTTTTAATTATCTTAATTTTGATCAGAATTATAACTTATAAATTATGTAACTAATGATTATTTCTATTTTCAGTGATAGCTATTTCACAAAAATTAACTTGTTCAATTTCTTTTTTAAAGTATGTGTAATATAAATTTCTATAAAAGAAAATTTATATAATATTCATATAGTAATTCTGGTTAAAATTATTTCTTGAATAAAATTACAATGATTGTGAAAAGGTAAATTTCAAAAATAAAATGATATATAGTTTAAGAATTTTATATGAATTTTATATAAAATTCTTTTTTATTAAATTTTATCCAAAAATTTTTACATAAAAACTTGTATATTTAAGAATGACCATGGCTTAGCCTGCAAATAAAAAATAAAACTTTTCTTTTAAACTTTTTTTTCTTTTTATTTTTCATACTCTTATTTAAAAAATAGTTTATAATTAATCCAAATAGTAGTATTTTTTATTAAAATATTTTTTCGTCACTTCTTACAGCTATTTTATTTATCTGCTTTTCTTTTTTATTTTTGCTTATAAAAAGTAAGCATTAATAGGATATCTGAAATAATAATTAGGATTAATACAACTTTAAATATAAACAAATTTTATGTGATAATTATTTAGTTATTTTCATTAATAATAACATTCTTTTAAAGATCTCTGACGTCTAAAGCTCTACATAAACTAATTTAGCTTAGTTTACTACTAGTATAAGCTGAGCCATTTTTTTCAGTTCAGTTCAGCTCAACTTAAGAAATAAAAAAAACTTTCTATCTTATCATATACAAATTTTAATAACGCTAAAAAACTAATTTTTAGCTAAGTTCTTAAATATATTTATATTAAAACTTACTAAGAAAATACCTAAAAATAAAAAAGATAAATTTAATACAGACCTTTTAATCTTATAATACCTTCTGATATTGAAGATAAACTAAGATTGCAAAAAACTACTGCTATTCTAACTTCACAAAGAATTATATCATCATCAAATTGATCATAACAACAATTACTACTACTATCACAATATTTAGCTTCATGAATATTTTATCATAACATTCGACCTTACAATCATAATCATAATCACCTTCACAATTATCATCAAAACAGCTTTTATAGCAATCAGATATGCTATTATTCGCTAATTTTTGAATAAAAATTCTAAAGATTTATTTGCTAAAGATATTATTAGTCTAAAATTAAACTGAAATTGAAATTTATTTATTAAAAGAGATAATGGTTATTTTCATTAATCGAAAAATACATAAATAATTTATAAATTATTTTTGAATTAGCTTTTTCTTAGACGATTGTAGATCTAAAATATTTCTTAAAAGATTCTTTAACTAAAAATAAACAGAAGTAAGTTGGTATAAATTTACAAATAACTATAAAAAGTCATATATCAGCATATCAAACCTCTTGTGATTTTTAAGAAAGATTATATACATAAATTCAGCATTTATCTGAAGGGTTTTTTTTATATATTTCACTGAGTTCAGGTTAATGATATTACTTATCTTATAAAATTTTATTCAATTTACCTTGATCATATTTAAATTTGCTAACTTTCTATTACGAAAAATGATTTTGCATCTTTTATATAACCCATTTTTTTCTAATTAAATATTATGTAAAAGTATTAATGTATAATCATTTTTAAAAAGAAATTGAAAACTAAATTTCATATATCATTCATATGCCTATTAGCATGCAAATATTAATCATTAATGTCTTTTTTACTCTACTTTCTCATATAGTTATTTTGACTTTATCGTGACTTATATAATAAATTAAGCTATCTAGTAAGCTCATTTTGCATAGTTTAAAATTTGACTTTAAAGCTTCGATAAGTTCTGGGATCAGTTTATATTAAATTTCTACATTTGTTTAACTCGTAAAGTTTTATTATATTTAAATAGAGCTCAGGTGATATCATTTTTAAGATAGTTTCATCTTTATCTAAATTGTTTGTAAAAATTGATAAATATTGATATAAGATCATTATAAATATTCTTGCTCTTTTTCATTTACTCTGGTTATTTTCTTGATGTCATCCTAATCACTACTATTTGAACTAATTCCACTTATGTATTCTTTATTATCAGATCTGATTCATATTTATTTCTTTTTTGTTTGTAAAGTTTTTGGCTTTTAAGACTTTTATAAAGTTTGGGTTTCTTATAAAAACTGTTATTTTTTTTACTGAATTTATTGTTAATTATTATTTAAGTTTTATGACTCTTGTAATTCATTATTAACTATTTAATTACTATTATAATTCTTTGATTTGTTCTTTTAATTTCATATTTTCTGTCATTAAATCTGATAAATTAAATATAAAATAAAACATTTTCAAAATATAATTAATAATCATAAAATAAATTTCAAGTTATATGCTTACTAATTTATTATTAGTCTAAATTATTTATATAATTTAAATCAATAAAAAAAATTTCTTTTTAAAAAAATTAATTCTATAAATCTTTTTGTTTTAAAAAATGATAATGATCGAAAAAATAAGAAATAAATTAAAAAATGTAAAGAAGAATTACAAAAAAGTAAAAGAGAAGTTAGAAAAAATAAAGAAATTGAGAAGAGATGCAAAGGAAGAATATGTTGGTGAACAACAAGTTTTAGAAAGGAAAGAAGAAAAATTTGAGGAGTCAAGAAAAGATAGGAGAAGAAGGAGATAGAGTAAAATATGAAACTGCATAAAAAAAAATTATTTTTCATTCATTTTATTTTGTTTATTTATTTTGATATTAATATACTATTTATAATTGATTTGTACCATTTTTAAAAAAAAAATTTGCTTATATAGTTTACTTTTCATTACTCAAGAATATTATAAACATGATTTTGTTAAATTTCAGTACTTTAAAGAAATCCTTTAAAATTGCTAAAGCTAAAGTTATTTCACTAAAAGGCCATAACTTCTCTAACGATTTGAAAAAAATTCAAAATAATATTAAGAATTCAAAGAAATATGAATGGGAGAAGATCCCAAAATCAAGTTAGATTTCAGAATTCTTGTGGTTGGAGGGCTCCTGAAATAGATATCAGTATTAAATCTTTTATTATTCTATTTTCTGAATATATTCTAATGATAATATTTGATTTTATTTCAGGAAAAACTCATTATAAAAAAGAGTTGTTTGAAGAAGTAAAGCAAAAAATATTAATTATTGGATAATCAATTTTATTTTAATATATTTTTCTTGATTTTAGCAATGTTGTTTAATTAGATAGAGGTGATAGTGAATTATCAATAGAATTACTTGTTGGTCTGTGAATTGTATATGCTTTTTTCATCTGAAGCAATTATAATGTAACATTTCAACATTTTGCTAGACTGTTCTAGCATTTAATCAGGAAAAATACTTTTATACTGATAATATGATCCTCAGAATTTGTGAGTATCTAAACCTTACAGATAATCAGCTTCTCTTTTTATTTTTACATATTGATGAATTTCAGATCATCTTTGACTTTAAGGGCTGAAAAGCTGATATGAAGAAAGATATTAATGATAACTTCAAGAATATAGTCAAGGGCATATTATACAATGTTAGAAGATTTATGATTGATAATTCTAATTTAAGCTTCATTCAGCCTTTCTTCTTAGAAACTGCATCACAAAGTTTGATTCAGCAAAAGAAACCTACGATGTACACTTTTGAATTTGTTAATTGTTCTCTGCTAAATATACAATCACAAATTGATATAGTAAAACATTTTGTAAATGACAAAAGTTTCTTTTAGAAATATGGAACATGCAAGAACAGATATATTTTTTATTATGTGATACAGGTGAACTCTCACGAGTAATTGAGTATTTGTTGAAATGCTACTTTGAAAAGAGATATGAAAGAACAGAAAATTTTTTCAAGATATTGATTTGTTAGATTATAATGTAATCTTCAGTAATGTGACAAGAGACATTGACAATATGTATGCAATCACAGCATGGGTTATAAATTTGCTGAAGTTATCATTATCAATGTTTGGTAGCAATTCCATCAATGAAGTCAAATCTTCTCTCAGACAAATATTCTGATACTCTAGAGTCTTTAGAATATGATCAATATTTGATTCTGACAAATTATGCTAAAAATGACAATTGTGTTTTGATTATATTACCCCCTATTTTTATTTATCTTTATATCCAAACTCTTAAATCATTTGTAGTAGCAGGTAGGTTGAAATGTTATTCTTGTCAGGATGGAAAATGGAATGGCATGATTTTGAAATACTTGTTGCAAAACATATAGCATTTCATATTAAGACTCTCTTCTACTTAAGGTATAAGAAGATGGCTTTCAAAAATATTTTTTGGGATGCTTATAATGACAAGATATCCTTGGAAACAAAAGTTGAACTCAAAAAAATTACTATTCATCAACTCTGTAATAAGTTTTCAGTCACTTATCCCATTACTAATAAGCAAGGTGAAATTGTGAACTTCAAGTTAGGAGTGATTGTTAATGAGAATAAAGCATCATTTGCTGATTTTTTTCTTGTTTTTGTAAGCATTGGTATTTTAAAAAATGTCATGTTTTTTCAGGAAATTAGTATCTTTACTAACATCTCACAAAAATATTAGGAAAAGTCAGAACTAATAGTATGCATTCAAAATAAATTGTAGAAAGGCTATTTTGAGAAGGCTGATGTGAAGAAAGAACATAATAAAAATGTGGCTGCGGTTCAGAGCACACATTATAATTTTGGCATTAACAACTATAATGTTATTACAGTATTCATATCATCTGCTGATTTGAAGGAAGATATTAGTGGCTATTGTGAAGAACCTCTACCAAACTGTCTTATTATATATCGGCATAACTTCTTTGGACATATCCTCAATTGCTGTGCTGCTATAAATTTCTAGAGAACATAATCTAAATTTTACTTCTCCAGATCGCTGGTTATCAGTTTCAACAAAAATACCACAAGAAATTATAGATAGAGTTCGTGCCAAAAGGCCTTTATGTTCATCACAAGATATGTTTAATGCTGACCCATGGTTTAACAACTACAAGGATGATATTAACAATATGACATATTCATTGTACACTGATGCCATTGACCTTGCAAACTCTAATAAGAAACGCCAGCTTAGTTATTATGATGAAGTTCTGCAATTGTAGATTCTTATCAAAATGTCTGGGTATTGCTATGTAAAGTTTAATTTAAATTATTATTTGATTGGGATTGTGAGAATATTTCAGAATTACAAAAGTCAATTGGATATTATCATTTATTCAGTCTTGCTAGTGTTAAAAATTTGAAGGTAATAATAGATTTTTTTTAGAAAATGTTTTAATTAAATACATTATTTTATTATTTTCTTTTCATTTCCAAAAATGTTTGGCAGCGATGCAACAAATTTAATGTTAAAAGACTGTTTTTATTTTGATATACAGTAAGTACATTATGATCCCAAAAATTTCGCCATATTTATAGCGAAACCGACTACATAGTTTGAGATATCTCTTTATCTCTCTAAATATCCTATACAAAAAATAAATTGATCAAATAATTTTAAAAACTTCCAAACTCCTTCTGTAAACCTGATCATCTGATTATTGGAATAACGACGATCTTATCTTGTATTGATGGATTGGGAGAGGGGCTAACGCCTTTCATTCGATCATTTGTCCCCAAATTCGAATTTAATAACTACCCAATCCTGATCCTCAACAAGGCCACATTTCTTTAACTAGGGGTTGGTTAATAAGAACTGGTTAAAAATCTTGATTAACTGGTTAATTAACCGGTTAAATTTAGTTTAGGCAGACAAAGCCTTAGCACGCGCATCAACGATCTTCAGGGTTCATTCTATTACTATTTATCCTTTGACAATTTAAACTTAAGTTACATCTCACATGGATCAGTGTATACTGCAAATGACCTTATTATAAAAATGTTTATTAATATTATTATTGTAACTTCATATCATGTTATAAGCAAGTCATAAAGTCAATACAATTACGGGAAAAGAAAGAATTCCTCAACATTTTAAACTAATAACAACAAATAAAAATTTCAAAAAGAAACCCCTCTACACGTTAGCGGCTTTAGTAATAATTGGACGAAATTCCAAAGGTAATATAGCTTCATTAGAATCAATCTGTACAGGTCTTTTAATTTTTATAAATACATGAGTGGGATCATGTAAATTGAATGGATATGCCTCACAAATCACGCACATTTCAAATTTAACACAATGTCCACACTAAATGATAAAAAGGGAGGAAATCTTACTCAGCATTCTCCTTTTTTGTTTTCAAAAAAAAAAAACACAATTGATTTACCTTGTACCTAATACCTTTAATATTTTTGTGACAAACATTACAAACGGTTTTATGATCGATATCTAAGAACGAATAAATGAATAAATAAAAGTGACAATCAAAATAATAATGATAATAAAGACATCTATTATTCTTTACCTTGTTCATTTTGTTCGATTAATTTAAATTCGGGTAATAAAGCAGTTCTTGCAAATCTATCATTACCAATTGGACGCTTAATCTTAATAAATACATGATCGCGATTATGGTTTGATGTTTCGCAATTTGAACATATATCATAATTATCACAATGACCACACTAAAAAGTGAACTTACAGTGAGAAAAGAAAATTGAAATGTTGGAGAAATGATTAAACGAAGGAATATTACCTTGTATCGAATTCCCACTATATATTTGTTGCATACGTTACAATATGCCGGATGCACTCCATTTTCTGAAAAGTATTCAAGTCACATGAACAATCAATACCACATCCACCATCAAATAAACGAATAAAAAAAAAAGAAAATTCACCTGTATAAAATTAAAGAAGGATCATTTAATTTACAGTATCTTTTAAATTTAATAAAATCACAAAGAATTTTACCTTGTTGATTTCTTTCCCGGAGGACACGATCTTGCTCGAAGATGACATGTTTCAAGGCTTTGATATCATTTTTTAATTTATCATTTAATTTATTTGATTCATCCATTTCATGATATTGCAAGACACATTTCTCGCGAAGTCTTTTAACTTCACTTTGTAAAGCTTCAATTTCTAATTCAAATTCCGAATTTTTACATTGTAATCTACGATGATCTAAATCTAATTTTTCAAAAGAATCTTTTATATCATGTCTATTTTTTTCAATTAGATTGAATTGTTCATTACATTGCTTCAATTCCTTATTTAATAAATTATTCTCCTCTTCAATTTCTTTCAATTTTTTAGATAATTGTTGCTTATCCACTTCTAATAAATTATTCTTTTGTTGTATTTGAACATTTTGTTGTTGCAACTCATTATATTTTTTTATATATCCATTATTATTTTCCTTTAGTGAAAAGATTTCCTTTTTAATGGTACTTAGATGCGATTCTGAATCGGTAACCTTTTGCTTATACCTCTCTATCTGGTCTAATAAAATTTCCTTTTGTGATATTAAATCTTGGGCAGATTTTATCGTACTTTCTTGGGAAAAGATCTGTTGCTGTAGTGCACGAATCTTTGATTTTAAAGATTCCGTTAAAGAATTTAACCCTTCCCTTTCTAGCTCAGATTCATAATAACGAGATTTTAATTGTTTTATCTCAGTTAGATTATTACTTTTGTTATCGGCAACATTATTGTTGTTGTTATTGCTGGAAGCGGATGAAGGATGTTCCATCGAAAACAGATTTTATTAGTCGATAAAACAATAAAAATAAAAAAGGGGGAAATGCTATTTAAATAAGTATAAATTGCTTGTTACACTGAAAGTGCGTTGAAAAAACAAATTGTGATAACTTTAGATTGATTAATTTGATTAAAAACCATAACAAAAAAGGTTTTGGATGCAGTAGATCTTTTGTGTATTTACACGTGAAGATTCATGAATATCACCTGAGTTTTTTTTTTTTTTAAAAATACGTGGAACGTTGTTAATTGTAGCCAAAAAAAAATCTTTTGGAGGCTGAAATTAGAACAATAGCCTTTAATTCTTTTTTTTCTCATTAGGAAAATTGATGAAATGGTACTTCCCTTGGTATGACTTTTAAATGCGTCATAATGATTAAAAGGCAATGGCATGTTAATGATATCATGTTATTTATTGAATTAAAAGAAAAAATGATATAAGAAACTATCTATAGCCCATTTTTTTAGGAAATCAAATAAAAAAAAATATGGAATCTAACAAGACATACAATCCGTTGCCCGATTTCGATAGTGATGATTTACCAATTGGTTACGTTGGCGCAACGATGATGCCAGGTGAGATCGAAATTTTATTGAATGTCCGACGCAAGCTCATCTACTAAATGACAAATTTTTAGGTCCAATCATCTCACTTCCAAGGGAACAACATGATAAAGTAAGACATGTCGGTAAAGATAATCAACCTGATACCGGTTCGTGTGATGAAGTTAAGAAGGAGACAACTGGAGATGATACAATTAAAGAATATGAAAAACCATCCTATGTTCATGGTGCAAAAGATAGCGTTGCTGGATCTTTGAAGGTAATTTTGATTTTCTTCGCGCGTCTATTCATTTCACGCGTGTTAAAATAATTTTTTATTTTATTTATTTTTTTTTTTTTAATAAAATAGGAAGCCATCGGTTATGCTGCGAAGAAGAAGGAAATGGTAGATAAGGGAAGAGAACAAAAAGAGAGCGGAAAACGTGAAGTCAAAAATTCTCGACAAGAGGATACATATGATAATAAATTTGAGTAATCCGTAGTCGATGAATGTCTATGCTGCGGCACAACACTTTTGATCGCAGATAATTTGTTCTTACCATTTTGATTCATTGTCAAAAATCATTTGTCATTCTTTCCTTATTTTAGGAATGAATAATTTTTACAAGCAATTCTCTTCTCCAAAAAAGAATTAACGTCTTTGTAACATTTTACCTTCTTTAAAAGTACACTTTCTCTAGCCGAGTTTTTCCGAACAATTAATTGAAAAGATCACGAGAACAAATGAAAACCTTTTTAGTTTTCATTCCTCCCTCATTCATTTCACTTCCTATTTGGTACGCTTCCATTGTTATATTCCTTATCAAAAAGATATATCAGGATCCAAAGTCATTTGTATCTTATCTAATGAAAAATGATTAGATAAAAAAAAAATAAAATAAAATAAAGTTTTAAAGTACTTGCATATCTTTGATGAAATAGTCTAAATTTCAATGCATCATCCGCGAAAAGTAGAAATTCTTGTGAATAAATTCAATTACATAATTTAACAAGATTGTAATGAGAAATTTCTTTTTGATCCAACTATTTTAAATATATTCTTATAATAAATAACATTTGACCAACATTACTAAACTTATTCATTTATTACACATGAATTGGTTGTAATTTGTAATTTGCTACAAGAAATTTATTATGTGTTTCATTTTAAAATATTTTTTTGTGTAATGGCAAACTTTTATCCAACTATTAAGCGAACCAGTAAGAATGTTATTGAAAGATTTTCCTTTTATTATCAAGAACAAATTCTAGTTTTTTTTTTTTTTCAGCCTTTAAAAAAAAAAAAAAAATTTTTTTTTTTATAAATTATTTTACTCGTGCCTATTTTTATTTTATTTCAAAAAAAAACTTCATAGAAGTGTTCATTTTATGACATTTACAGAACTTTAAAAGATAATAAAAATTTCCCATTTCACCATTTTTTACATTTTTTAAAATACATTGTTTTTTCCTTTTATACTCTTTATAAAAAAAAAAAAAAAATACGATTTTTTTCGATTTGTGATTTATTCTTATTCTATATAAAGTAAGGCATTTTATCTGGATTTCAAAAATTTAATGTTGCCCAAATCTTTTTTTTCATTTTTTTTTTTTTTTTTGACGATCAAAAAAAAATTTTTTTTTTACTTCTAAACGCAAAGATTATATATACTATATAATACAAATTCTTTTATACCTTGATGTATAGAAAAATGGGAATAAGTATGGAAAATACAAAACGAAATCTCCCCCTGGGTATAGAACTTTTACCTGGTGAAACTGTTGAAATATTAGAAACGACGACTTCAATAAAATTATTTGAAGCAACCGTCGAAGGGGGATTTACAGAATGTGGTGATGTTGGTATCGGTGAATTATACAACTTGACGGATATCATCAATGAGGTATTGTAATTTGAATCGATGTTAGCTTTTTTTTTTTTTTTGTTACGATTTTTTATTTTTCATCTTATGCATTTTTTTTTTTTTGAAATTTTTTTTTTTTTCTTTTCGAATCCCGAATTATGATCACGAAAAAATATTAGTCCACGATGTTAGTTACCAATTATCGAATTTGCTATCAACCAATGAAAAATCTTTCAAAATCTTTATACTCTTCTACATCATCAATGTCATCAATAGTAGAAACAAGTCATCCACGTACAGTACAAATACCACATTTATCAATTGCTCAAATTGATGAATCACAAAAAAATCAGATCATTATATCACTAAAACTTTCCCCATTAAAATATTTGATTAAATTTTCTAAACCAAAACCAAAACCAAAACCTAGTAATAATAATGGTAATGGTCTTATACACAATAGGGCAAATGCAAATTCTTTGTGTCATGACTTTTCTTTTATATTGAAGAAATTTATTAGACCAAATAGTATCGAAAGTGTTTTCGCGTTTCGCATGGGCGAAAGTGAAGTTAAAAATAATAATGATGATGATAATGAAAATGAGGATATCAAAGTAAAAAAAAGAAGACAATTAACTAATGAGGAAAAAATTTTTGAAGAGCTTTTTGGTGGAATTAGTAGTGAGGAAGAAGTTGATGATGATTTTTTACGGAGAGGATTAGATAAAAATGTTTACAGGCGATATCATAAACTAGGATGGTCTAATGGTTATAAAATTCAAAAAGAATTTGGGAGGATGCAAATGAGCAAAGATTCATGGTGAGTGAAAGAAAAATAAATTTGGTAATGTTGGCTTTTTTTTTAATCCTTTTTTTTCTTAATGTTAAAAATTTCTTTCAGGAGCATTGCATCATATAATGATGACTTTTCGTTGTCGCCAACTTATCCAAAGGATTTCATTTTACCTTCCCGTATCCTTAAGAAGGATGCAATATTTGCATGCGAGTCTTTTGATACAAGTGCAAAGAGTGATTCTTATGAAATTTCAACAGCATTACAATCGAGCCCTGAATTTTTCCAAAAACTTGTAAAATTTAGAAAAAATGGACGATTTCCAATAATTTGTTGGAAGAGAGGTCATCACGTATTAATGAGAAGTGGCCAACCAATGGTTTCAATATTAGGTTGGAGAGGTATAGAAGATGAATTATTAATAAAAGAGGTGCTTAAAGCAGTTAACGAAGAACAACAACAACATATAGTTAATATATCAAAATATTATTCAAGTAAAATTAGTAATGGTAAATATGATAAATTCCCTCATAAAAAATATAATGGATTACAAGAAAAGTGTACAAATACAAAAATTTGTATTTTGGATGCAAGAAGTTATTCTGCTGCATTTTCCAACGGCTTAGCTTGCGGTGGATATGAAAAATGTGAAAATTATCCACCAAATACGACATTGCAATTTCTTGGCCTGTCAAACATTCACGCCATTTCTGCTTCACATTCATCCTTATTAAGTGCTATCGCAACTCATGCTTCGTCCTCTAAATGGTTCTCAGTATTAGAATCTACTGGTTGGTTAGGTCACGTTGCTGATTTGTTAAAAGCTGCTGGAGGGAAAGATGGTGTCGTTGGAAAAATCGTTGATGAAGATGCAAGTGTTTTAGTGGTACGTATAAAAGGTATTTTGAGAGTAAACTATAATTTCTTTTTTTAAAGAAATATTCGTCATAATAATTATATCATTTTTTTTTCCTTTTTTATTTCTCTTAGCATTGCACGGATGGTTGGGATAGAACGACTCAATTAGTGTCTTTGTCACAAATAATGTTGGATCCATTTTACCGAACTATAAAAGGATTTCAAGTATTAATAGAGAAAGAATGGATCGCGCATGGACATCCATTTAGAGCACGTGGTGACCTCCCAACTAACATTCGAAACGATGATTCTCTAATTACGCCTAGAGAGGAAGAACAATCATCTACGAGACCAAATTGTCAACAGCCACTTGCAGTGCAATCAGCACCCGCACCAGTGTTTCTTTTATTCCTAACATGTTTGCATCATTTGCTACAGCAGTTTCCTTCGTCATTTGAATATAATGATTTTCTCTTGTTATGTTTGGCAAGAGCTGCAGCAGGAAATTCGCCTTATGGTGATTTTCTTTGTAATTCCGAATGTGAAAGAGAATATGTTCGATTAAGAGAAAGGACGAAAAGTATTTGGTCATGGGTTAGAGAACATAAACAATGGTTTAGAAATCCAAGGTATGATCAAAATACCAAATATGATAATCAAAATAATATTGGCGTATGGTTTGATGATAAATGGAAAAAGGAAGTTTTAAGACCCGATACGGGAGCTAGGTTCATCACTTTATGGAACGAATATTATTTTCCCAAAGATAATTTTTCTATAACGTTATTATCAATCCCTCCAGGCTATGAAATACCTTTCCCTACTGGATTGGTCGCAACTTCGAGATCATGTCATTCTTCTGAATATGCACTTATTAAACTTTTAATGAAAAGTAAAGAGAGAAGAATTGCCGAAAAGGTTTGGAAGATTTGGAGATCTTTTGTATTAGAAAAGAAAAACAATCAATTATTATCAATTAAAAAACTCGACGGTGATGATGATATAAATAATGTTGAAAATGATGAGATGGAAGTTGAATTGATGGGAGCTTCGGTTTGGCATGATTCGAATATTGTGGTGACGGACAAGAAGGATATAAGCAAGCAATCTAAAGAAAATAGTATTATTGATGATAATGCGGAATCAAAATTCCTTTTGGTCATGTCACCAGAAAAATCAAAAATTCACGATAATCATCATAAAAATTATTTTAATGTACCTTCACCGACATATTTATCTCCATCGCTGAGTGAATTATTACCAGCAAAGGAGGATTATTTTTCAGAAGAGGAAGAGCCAAAACCCGTTTATCCTGCAAATAAAGGGGAAGAAGAAAGAAGTTCATCATCACCACAACAATGGGTTTATTTATGTAGACAAAATCAAAAACTTGATGATTCAAAAGATTCATCACAGACGTTGGCTGAATTACTTAAAGAAGCTCAACTAGATGATCATTATTTATGCCAAAGTAAATGTCGTGACTCTAAAATAATAGTTGATTTGTTATCAGAAGCCCAATTAGATAATGATTCCTTACTACCGAAGCAAAGAAATATATCAGCCAGTAGCAATCCTTTATTATCGAAGCAAAGAAACACGTCGGCTAGTAACAATTCTTTATCATCGAAACAAAGAAATATGCCAACTAGCAATATTTCTTTATCATCGAGGCAGAGGCATATGACAAATATTGATGACAATTCTTTATCGCCAAAGCAAAGAAACGTGTCAACTAATGATAATAATTCATTACCTAAACAAAGAGAGATGTCAACCAATAAAGGAATTTCACCTACTTCGCCGTCAAGAAATTGTAGAAATTCTATTCGTACAAACCATTTTACGGAACCCAATTGTGATTTAATTTCAAATGAAATTAATTCCAATATTGGTTTAAATTCTGTTGAAAACGATCTCACCGAATTTGTATTAGTTTAATAAGTATTTTTTGGTTTTTTTTGATTCGTTTTTCTTTTAAAAAAAAAAGGTTTTGTTAATTTATTTTTAATTATTTACTTAATGGACGGATGAAATAAATTGGTGGATGAATGAAATTGATTTTTATTTTATCGGTATTAAAAAAAAAAGTATATTATATTTGTTTGTAAATATAATTATTTATTTATAGACATTGGGTTTTACCAATAATCTCAGCTTTTCTTTTATTTTGACTTGGTTTATTATCATTATTTTATCACAATAAAAAAAAAAAATTGGATTTGTTGAAAAATTTACACATCTTTACGTTATGTGACATTTAAATCTTTGTACATTTAATAATGAATCTCAAAAAAAGATAAAAAGTTCTCGAGTCCAAAAGTTCGTTGACATTTATAATGAAAATTGGTGACCGTCGTAAAATTGGGGGATTTTGCAAAGACCCAATTTGGTTTATTTTCTCACGAATTAGTCACGCCTAGTGGATTGACATCTTGTGAGCATAATATATAAGACGATTTGATCTGATTGGCTATTTGAGAATAATTTATTTTTTTTCAAAATATGGACACTTCAAGATTTTTAAGAAAAGAGGTTTGTAATAATGAATGTTTATGCTAATAAACATGTCATTACATTTCTTCTTAACTTGTAACGGTTTTACAGGAAGAAATAATTCGAGACTTAAAATCGGAATTGTATAAACGTGAATTAGAATTGGAAGGGGTTAAAACTTTGAATGAATCATTAAAAAATAAAATTACACTTATGACCAACAATGAAATAGAATTGGAACACTTAAAAAGAGAAAGTGCCCGATTAAGAAATGAATCTGTGAAAAGCCATCAAGAAAAAGATGACGTAATGAGTTTAAATTATACTCTTAGTGAGCAAGTTAAAAATTTACAGGAAGAAGTAAATAATTTGAAAATTGGAAGAGTTGTAAATACTGAAGGTGGGTTAGTTTGTGGACAAGTAGTTGAAGGATGCGTTAATAGTTTATTCTACTGCGAAAGAATCAATGGTTCAATTTGGCTTATAAATTCTGCTATTTTTATAGAATTAGTTCATCATAATGTTAGGTGTGATTCATGCAGTGAAATTATAAAAGGGTTTCGTTATAAAGTAGGTATGTTTACATATACATATATATTTGTATGAGAAATAAATTTTATTTTTTCTATTTAGTGTGGACATTGCGCGGATTTCGATCTCTGTGCCTATTGTGTAGGATCAGAACATAATAACAATCATGTATTTTTAAAAATTCGAAATCCTATACTTATTGATTCAAGAATAATTTTATTACCACCTTTTAGATATCGTAACCAAGGTATATTTATTTTGATTTTATTTGATTTGAAAGTATTGATGTTTATTATCCTATTAAAAGACAAATCCTTTTTTTTTTTTTAGGTAGTATTCATGAAGAGGTTGGTTGTGATATTTGCGGACAGAATCCAATTCATGGGATCAGATATAAAGTAAATAAAGATTTCTGTTTCTTTTTCCTTTTTTTTTTTAGAAAAAAAAACGTTCATTTTAATTTAATATAACGATATATATATATTCAATTTTGGTAGTGCGGACAATGTGCAAATTTTGATATATGTAGTAAATGTGAAGAAAATATAAGTGAATCACATGATCAATCCCATCTATTTATAAGATTAAATAGACCAATTCGTACAGAAGCTAGGTTGGTTTCTATACCACTTTTACCAAATTTTCTTCCTGATGTATGATATATGGAATTTTAGTATATATATATATATATATTTTGGTTATTTTTAAACTGTTCATAAATGTTAATTATTTGTAGCAAATATATATATCTTTATAATAAGTTTAATAATAGTATTAAAATTTTTGTTATCCCTTAAATGTTAAGAATTTTATCTAAATTTGATCATAATCCAAATATTTATATACTAATTTTTATAATTATTTTTTTTTAATTAATATTATACAAAATTTTTAATAAATTTAAAAATAGTAATATATACTTTAGATATTATTAAAAAATATATATAAATATTAAATATTTATGTTTATATAAAAATTATATATTATTACTTTATTATAAAGATAAAAAAATTGTTAAAAATAATAAATTGATCTTATTTTAATAACTTTAAAATCTTAAATCACTTTTAATAATATAGATAAAATTATTTAGGTTTAAAACTATATTATTTTAAATTTAATTTTAAATTCATATTTAAAAGTATATAATATTTTTTATAATAATATTAATTCATAAATTTATTTTTTTATTTATTTCAAAGTATAATTTAAAAATTTTAATTATTTTAAATTATTTTAATAATCTAAATTAAGTTACTTATAAATATTAATTTAATCTTAATAAAAATTTAAAATTAAATAGTTTTAAACTTATTAAATAATTAAATTTGTATATAATTTGATTATTTTATTCAAAGTAAATTACTTTTAATATTCTAAGTAATATTTATTTATTAGGTTTTCATTAATAATATATATAATAATTTTATATAAAATAATAAGTTTTATAATATTTTTTAGACTTTACTATTGATCACTAGTAGTGGTATCACAAATTTTCTTTTTAGACATTTATGTAACCTTATTTAAAATTTTATCAAAATTAAAATTTCCTTTTAAAATTATGTAATATTATCTAACTTTTCAAATAAGAAAATTTGACAAGTATTATAGCCAAAATCATAAATTTTGATTATAAATAAATATGTGATAAATAAAATATAATAAAGTAATAAATTATTTATTATTAAAAGATCACATAATATCAGTGATAATCACCACTAGTGATCAATAGTAAAGTTTTATTTTTAATAAATTAAGTTTTGAAATCTATTAAATTTTATTAATAAATTTGCTTATAATATTATACATTGTCTATAATTATTAAATATATTGAAAATAATGCTATTTCAGTTAGTCTTATAACAGATCTTTAGATAGCAAGAGTATCTTAGTATAACATATTCTTTTTTGGATGTAGAATTTAATTTACATGAAATTTTACTTACTATTACTTATATTCACTATCCACATACTACAGAATATATTAGTGATATATTACTTAAAATTCTTGATGAATGGTTGTTATGTAAAAAAGTTTATATAATAATAACTGATAATAGATCTAATATGCAAAAAGTAATAGAAGATATGAATTCAATTTCTTCAAATATAATGTGATAACCTTATACTACTCATACCTTACAATTAGTAGTTAGAAAGAATCTTGCTTATATTAAACTTCTTATATTAAGAGCAAAACGTCTTATTGATTTTTTATAAGATTAAAACAATCTAAACATTTAAAAAATATATAAATTACAATTCAAACACAAAATAATATGATAAGTATTTATTTTACTTTTAAAAATATAAATTTATTTATATACATATATTTTATTAAATATTTTTTGATATATATATTGATAAGTATAATTATTAAAAAAATAATTACAAATAGAATTTATTTTATCTTTAATAATGGACACATTTAAAATATATTTTAAAAATATTATTTTTAAATTTTTACATTAAAATATAGATTGAAAAAAAAATTAAAATTTTTTTATGATTTCTAATAAAAAACTTTAAATTTATTATAATTTAGTTATTTTTTTTGATTTTTTTTATTAATAATTTACCAAATATTTTATTTAAATTATTTAATATTAAATAAAAATAATTTATTAATATTTTATTTTAGAATCCTGATGAAACAAGTCAATATCTTCTACATTGTATCAAGATATAGATACATATTGAAATTTTAGTTATTTAGTCTGAATGCATTTAATTGAAATTAAACTATATATCAATATTTTAGTTGCTACTTTACCAATTGATAACAATTCTGATGCAAGAAAAGATAGATATCAACTTGCTAAAATTATGCTAACTAAAAAAGAATGAAAATTATTAGCTGATTTATGTTTTATATTAGAAGAATTTGCAGAAGCTATTACTTATCTTGAAACAAGTAAATATATTACATATAGTATTATGAATCCTTTATTAAAAGAGATTGAAAGACATATTAAACTAGCAAATTTAGTATTTAAAACTGATGTAGATTTGGAAAATATTGATGATGTTTTTGAAAAAATAGATAAGATATTATTACAAAATAAATATAATATACTTAAAGGAGAAAATTTATCATCAATATTATCAGAAATAAAATCAACATCATCATGAAGTTTTCTTTATAAAACATCATTATTTTCTATTTTTAAAAACAATAAACTTAACAAATTAATAATAAAGTTTCAGCATATTTGAATTTATTTGAAATAAATTTTGAAATGAATCTATTTTATTGGTGACATAATCATAAAGGTCAATTTTCTCTTCTTTCACAATTAGCACGAATTTATCTTCTAATTTTAGCAACTTTTACTCTGAATAAAAGGTTATTTAATGATGCTAAAAATCTTCTAATTGCAAAAAGAATACGCTTAAATCTAGAATTATTTAAGCGCTTGATGTTTTTAAAAAGAAATATTTTATTTATTGATAATATTTATCTACCAATTAATAAATAATTATAAGAATAGGTAGGATATTAAAAAGAATGAAATTAATGGTCAGCTATACAAAATTAAAATAGAAATTTATTATGAGAATAAAAGAAGATTTAGAAAAGGATTTAAAATTGTAATATTTTTTGATTTATAATGAGTTTTCTAATAAAATATTATTTACTGTAATTACTTTTTATTATATTATATAATTTACAATTTTTTAAATTTATACAATTTAATTTTTTAAAATAAATTTTTTATTTTAATTTTTTTTTTGATATATATTACATTATTTATTTTTTATTTTAAAATATAATATATTAATGCATTAAATATTTGTATATAAAAAAGAAAAAATACTAACTAATATAACTAACTATTCTCAATTTTTCTTTAAAAAATAAATTAAACTCTTTCATTCACTATTAAAGAACCCTTCAGGAAGAATTACCTATTCAAAGACTCGCTTCTAAAAAAAAAAAGAAATTAAGTTAAAAAAAAAGAATTTCTAAAAGAAGACTTGCCATTCAATTAAAAAAAGAAGAAACCCCCCTTAAAAGTACTTTCAAAGAATCCTGAAAAAGGCTTATCTATATAAAAAGAATGAAAGATTCACAACTAAAAAAAAGAAAAAAGTTAATAAAAAGAATAATTTCACTCTAAAGAATCTTTAAAAGAAGGCTTAAGAACAAAAGTTTTATTGTAAAAAAAGAAGAGAAATATTAGTAAAAAAAGAAATCTACCCTTAAAAGTATCTGAAAAAAATTTACCTAAATGAAGAGAATAAAAGATTTCTCTTAAAAAAAAGAAAATGAAATTATTAAAAAGAAGGAATCTACTCTCAAAAGAATTCCAAGACCTCTAAAAAGAAGACTTATCTATATAAAGAATATGAAGATCCGCTACTAAAAAAAAGAAGAGAAAAAGTTAATAAAAGAATAATTCAATCTAAAATAATTACTAAAAATGACTTACCCTTTTCTGAAAAAACAAAAATTCTACTCTTAAAAAGAAAAAAAAAAAAAAAAAAACCTCTGAAAAATCCTCAAAGAATCCTATGAAAGAAGGTTTACCTTAAAGAATACTCTTAAATTTAAAAAAGAAAAAAAAATAAATAAATAAAAAAGAAATAAAAAAGTAAAAAAAAAATCGGGTGAAGAAAAGTCAAGAATTTTTGAAAATAAAAGTAAAAAAAAAAGGAAATTTAAAAAAATTGTATAAGGGTTAGTTAATAAAGAATTTCTGAAAAAAAAATAAAAATAAAAAATAAAGGTTTAGGAGAATAAAGAAAGAATTTTTGAAAAAACAAAAAAAAACAATTAAATATAATAAATAAATAAAAAAAAAAGATATATTTTAAAAAATTTGTGTAAAAGGAAAATTAAAAAAGTTTTTTGAAAAGAACAAAAAAATTGTTAATCGTTAAGTTTTTGTTTTTTCATTTCTGTTATTATTGATAGATAAATAATTTCAGAAAAAAAAATTAAACAGAAATTTTAAAAGAAAAAAATTAAATGGATAAGATTGATTGAAATGATTAAATAGTTGAAATGAATTACAATTTTGAATATTCTATAGATATTCTATAAATAATTTCATCTGCAGATAATTCATAAATTATCTGCAGATATATACAGATATTCAGATAAATTATTTAGCTAACAGATATCTGCAGATTGTTTCAAATTATTCAGATCATATCACTATAGTGTATAAAATTTAAGCCAAAATTCATATGTATAAGTTGTATTAAAAATAGAAAATCAATGCATATAATATATAGTATTTTCATTTTTATAAATAATTTATTCATTTTTATATATAATATATTTATTTTAATAATTATTTGTGCATATTTTTTGCTATATAATATATACACAAAAATATTTAATGTGTACATATACATAATGTACACATAAAATCTATATACTGGTATATGAATACTATTTAATAAGATAATTTATTATAATACTATTTTTCTATTCTAGTATATAATAAAAAATAATATAGAATTTGAAAAAAAAGTGTTAATTTTTATTATTATTTTGTAATATGAAATAATTTATATAATTTTAAAATTAGTTAAAAATTCAAATAAATTATTTATGTAAAATTAAATAAATTAATTAAAAGAATTGATTGTATTTTAAAAATTAACATTTATCATAAATTATTAAATATACTATAGTATTTTATCTATATAGTTAACTCTTGTTATAACGAACTTTATGTCTTAGACCTCAACTTTGCTATAAGGCTATAGTAAAGATTTTAAGAAATTTGATTAGCTAATTCATTATAACAAAAAGTATTTTTATTATATTTGTTCAAAAAATTTGTTATATTAAGAGTTTGCTATAACAAAAGTTGACTGTAATATATAATCAAGATAAATAAGTAGAAATCTAAAATATTTAATAATTCATAAATTTATTTATTACTAAAATATGAGAAACAATTATCAAAAAGACTTAAAACAAATATTGAATAGTCTAAATCTAATAGAAATAAAGTAAATTGTATATAAAAAATAATATTTAAAATAATATAACTAAAAAAATAAAAATGTAAAAATTATAGAGAATATAAATATTATGCAAAAATATGTATAAATGTAATTTAATAATTATAATATTTATATATGTAATCTTATTAAATAAATTTTAAAAAATAAAATTTTGTCAAAAATTATATGATATTATAAATCATATGAGGCCTTTGCAATAGAAAAGGAGGAAACTCAAAAAAAAATAAAAAATAAGTTAATAATAAATCTGAACAAATTATAGTATTTAGAACATTTTTGGCTTATAAACTAAAATTTTAATTTTTTTAGAGTTTTCTCCCTTTCTATTGCAAAGACCCCATATGATACATATTTAAGTACTCTATATATGATTATAAATTTTTTATTATAAATATTTATAATTATATTATTATATTAATATTTTATAAATTTATACTTTTATTTTAAAAGTAATTTATAATTAAATATATTTAAAAAATATAAAAAAATTATATTTAAGTTTTTGATTTAATATTTATTATTATAAATATTTTTTAAAAAATTAAAATTATATTTTATTTTAAATTTAAATAAATGAATTTATTTTTAAATATCTTAATTGTTTTTTAAAAAAAAAACTTTAATTATCAAAAAAATAAAGTTTTAATATTAAAAATTAATTTAAAATTAAATTATTTAAATAATTTAAAGAAATTTATACTATTTAAATAAATTATAATTAATTAAAAAAATCAAAATGAAATGCTATAATAAAATAAAATATTTATAAAAATAGTTATAAATTTTGTTTATAAATCTTTTAATTAAAATATTTTTTATATTATATTTTTAAAAACTATTATATATTATAGTAGTAAATATAATTATATATATTATAAATTATATAAAATAAAAATACAAAAAAAATAAGTAAAATATAATAATTTTATATATTTTTGATTTTTGATATTTACAAAATAATTTGAATTATATATAGAAAGATTGCTAAGAAATAACTTTTTAACTAAAAATAAGGTCTTATTACATTTTAATCTATAAAAAAATTCCAGAATCTGATTTTTTTAGGATTTTTCTTATATAAAATTAATAAGTATAAAAAATATTATAATTTTTGTATTAATCAATTTTAATTTTAAATATTTTCATTTTTTATAGAATTAAAAAATGATATTATATATAATTTTTAAAAAAAAAAAATTTTGAAAAATTCTTTTAAAGAAAATCTTTATTTGGTTTTTAATAAATAATTTTTTAAAAAATACTGATATGTTATAATAAAAGTAACAAGTTACAATAAATATATGGGTATGATTATTTATATTACTAATAAGAAATATAGATTGTATATTTTATTTATTTGATAATTTATAATTAAAAATTTTCGAATTTTGAAAAATAATTTTATTAAAAAATTCTTAACAAATTCAACATTTTACATCTAATCTAACAAACCCAACTTATCGATAAAAATAATAAAAAGTATAATATAAAATAAATGTTTGACCAGAACGCTTATACAATAATTAGTACGTTATTTAAATGAACTTTTTTCGCAATATCAGCGATACAGAAGAAAATTAATTAATAAATTACTTTGATTCTTCCAGAGTGAATTTGAATAATAAGAGTATGGGAAAACTTAAAAATACTTTAAATAAGACCACAACTTTTTTTTTTTTTTAAAAAAAAAGGATTAACAAATGAAACTAATTGATTATTAAAAAAAACCACAAGACTCAATTAAAATTAAAATTAACAATGTTTTCACTAAATGTTATGGTGGATATTTACGCCAGTCACGTGGAGCACGTTTCATTCCTGATAAGGTACTACCACGCGAAGCCTTTACGGATGTTAAACGCCTTTTTTCATTTAAAAGGCGAATAAGTTCCGAGATGACAATATCATCAACAAATACCATTTGATTGCCCAACAGAAGAAAATTCTTCCTCTGACCAGTCATAGTCCAAAAAGCTATCGAGAAGGTCAATAATAGCTTCGTTATTTGTATTTGTAGCTGTTGTTGAAGCATCAAAGTCGGTAAAGAATGGATTTGTGACAATATCCCGTAAAGGGTCCTCATCTTGACGTGCCGCTGCTGGGACTTCTTAGAAAAATTGAACTCTCTTGCATCATCGGATAAATAACACCTAGAGGAAGAATCTGGTAAAATCTCATTCTGACTGCCGTTCATTTTGGTGTCGTTAGTATGTTCTTCCTTACCATTATTATTATCATAATCCTTCAATGCAATGGAGTCATATTCCAAGGCCGCGGATACTGCAGATCCGCGAACACCGTCAAGTAGGACTTTGGTCATCTCAGAAACAGTGGAAACAGCCAAGTGTGACTGAATTTCAGCTAATTGTGCAGAAATTACATCAAGCTTTGCAGATAAGTTCATATTTTCTTCCTCAACCACTTTTAATCTTTTGGACAAATGCTCATTATCTTCTTTAAGTATAAGATTCTGAGATTCAAGATCCGCCATTTGCCTTCGTTTTTTGTCGCGTGACATTTGAGCAGCATGACGATTTCTCAAAATTCTATTTTATAAAAATAATAAATGGTTAAAAATAAAGGATTGTTTATTACCGCTGGTGATAATCACGTGAAATCTAATAAAACCAATAGATATTCTTTTTCCATTCACTCATGTCGATCACCATTGGTATTTTCAATACTTCTAGGTTATACTACAAACATACCTCTCACGCTGCCTTTGTTCTTTCTCCTCTAAACTTTCAGCCTTTCTCTTACGACCCCCTGCTTTCTTTTTCGAATTAGATTCATCATTTGAGGTAGAAGATAGTGCTGAACTATCAAGAGATAAAGCTGGTTTAATAGGTTTAACAGGTACTGAAGGAAAGGTAGCAACTGAAGGTGATGTAGTTTGTGAAGAAGAAAGTATTTGATCAGATTTTGAGCAAAGTTGCAATTCTTCTCCATCAATGAGTTCTTGTAAAGAAAATAAATCACCATTTTGAGCTATTGCTATGATACTATCATCTGGTGAACTATCTTCTAAATCTTGTGATAATAAACTTGGGGAATAAATTAAGGTAGGTTCTATTATAATTTGTGTATCTTCAGTATTTGATGTATTATTATTATTACTTTGGGTTGAGGCCACCATATCCTCTTTACTCCAATTATCACTTGAAGTAGCTAGATGGATTTGCTTTTGTTCATTTTCAGAGCTTTTATATTCTTTAATGGAATTATTTATTGAGGACATGATGACCCGCCCGATTATAGCTTTCTTTTATTAATACAGTTTGGGCCAGTTTATTAAAAAAACGTGTGAGTTGGCAATTCGGCAGTAGAAAGAAGAGCTTATTGAATGAGAAGCGAACAACGATGAACAATCCTTTTTTTCAAAATAGAATTATATATTTATAATGATACATTGGATTAATAAGGCAATGAGTGATTGTGTTTAATTCTCATTGGTAACTTTCTTTAAATCAAAATGTGTTTGAATTTGGTTGGTTACAATTACACGCAGTATTTTTTTTTTTACTTGTGAAAATGTGGCTTAATATTTTGCTCAAAAAGAAAAAGCCACCCGTTTTACATTATTATAAAAGTCGCAAATTTGGAATTTCATTTTATCTTATGAAGATTCAAAATGAGTTTAATAAAAAAACTATTCAATTGTAAATTTCTGTGATCATCCATTAATAAGAAGGTATAAAGCCATTTTATTATAGATATTTAGGAACAATTTTTTTTTTTTTATTTTAAGAAAATATTCGCTAATTAACTGTGAATTAATGTACGGTCATACCTCTCTAAATGCACATACTATATATTTTCTCTCTACCCTCCTCATTCAGTCAAGCATTAAAAATTTTCTCTTTAAACGCACCTTCTTTGAACGCACATTTTTTCAAATTTCACTATGGTCCTAAAGGGGATGCTAAAACAATTCCAAAAATACTCTTTTTTGGTAGGATCCGCCCTTGCAAAATTTTGCGACCACCTCGTGTTTTTCAGTACTATACAAGTCACCATTTTTAGTAATAAAATCTCCTCAAAAAGTAAATTAACATCAGTATAATATAGAAACCTTCTTGAAAAAATGTATTTTAACGCGTTTTGAACACGTGTGTTATTTGTGATATTTGAGAAACTTGTGAGGCTTATGTAGTAGGTAACTATAAATGCCTTTGTATATAGAAAGTTTGATGCAAGAGAAAAAGATAGTTTTGCTAAATTTGTTAAAATAAATGCTTTTTGGAATATTTAATGTTTTCAGAATGCAATTGGTAAAAAACAAAGTTATTGATTATATATAGTATACTAAATTATTATTTTATAGATTTTGATAAAGAAGCTATTAAAAAAACTTTAATTGAAAAATTAGCAATAACAAATAAGAAGAATTAGTTGGTTAGTTTATTATTTTTATAATAAAATTTTAAACATAATGATAATTATATTTTATCTTAATTAATACAGATCTTATTAAAATTTTTTTACCTAAAATTAATGAAGAAGAATATTATAGCATTATTGGAATTTCTATTAAATTACATTTTAAACATAAAATTTTATTTAATATATTAAAGTATTATTAAAACAAATATATAAAATATAAAAGAATATTGATTTTGATTTTCTTTTTTATTTGAAAATAAGTTAAAAAGTTCTATATTATGCTATTCTTAATGATTAAAAAATTCAAGATTTTATTTTAAATTTTTTAAACTAATTGAGTTACAATTTTTTTTTTATTAATAATTACATAAACTAATATTATTTAAAATTTACTACTAAAATAAATGTATTAAAGAAATCTTTTAATATAAAATTCAAATATAAATCATAACTAAAAAACTAATAAAGTAAATATCTCATTAATATTAATTCTTATATAATTTCAAATAATTCAATAATACAAATTTATATTTATTTATAAGTAATTAAAAAAGTTTAAATAATAAATAAAATTTTTGATAATAAAAAAAAAAGATTTGATATATTAATTTATAATTATATCCTCAAAATTAAAAAAAATAGTGTAATTATAAAATACTATAAATATGATTAAAGAGAAGTTTTTTAATAAATTTATTAGTAACTTAAGTTAATATAAGTATATTTATAAAAAAGAATTTAACTATATATAGGTAACTATAGAAAAAGTTGATTGTATTTATATGGGATCTTTGCAATAGAAAGGGAGGAAACTCCAAAAAAATTAAAATTTTAGTTTATAAGCCAAAAATGTTCTAAATACTATAATTTGTTCAGATTTATTATTAACTCATTTTTTATTTTTTTTTGAGTTTCCTCCCTTTCTATTGTAAAGGCCTCATATAATACATATTATATAGGATTTTATTAGTTTTATAAAGATAAAATACTACAATTACGTCTCGATATAATGAAGTTACCAATCTAGCTGATCAGAACTTCATTATAAAATCTTCATTAACGTTATAATAAATTATTCAGTATGTGTTATAAATAATTCGTTATAACGTTAACAAATTATTTGTCATAGTAAATGATTACTGATTTCATTACACAAATATAATTTTACTATAATATATTTTTTTCAGAAATATTTTCACATTATTTTATAAATTCTAGTCATTTTATTTCAACATGCAATCTGTTAATCATTGTATAACAGTTTTATTAATTTACTTAAATTTTTTTTTAAAATAAAATAAAAAATAAAATAAAATAAAATAAAAGAAAAAATAAAAATGAAATGAAAAGAAAACTAAACAAGACGAAAAAATGAAATTAAGAAACTAAAACAAAACTATAAAATAAAATTAAGTGAACGAGATTAGACAAAAATAAAATTAAGCAAATGAAAAAATTATAAAATGAAATTAGAAAATAAAACAAAATGAAAAAATGAAAAGAAACTATAAAATGAAATTAGAAAAATAAAATGAAATGAAAAAACGAAATTAGTAAAATAAAACAAAATAAAAAAATGAAAAAGAAAAAATTAAATTAAACGTATGATATAAAAAAAAAACGAATAATATGAAAAAAATGAAATTAAACAAATAATAAGAAAAAAACTGAAATTTTTATTACCTTGCAGACTTTGCAAGCATATTACGATTTTGCCTCATAAGCTCATCACAGTTTTGCCTTATATTTTATATTTACCTTATAGTAGGCAAATTACGATTTCTTCTACGAGTGTGCCTCAATTCTAAAAAAGTAAATATATTTAATATAAATCTAAAAAATTATTTAAATGTTTTTGATTATTACCTGACCTATCCTAGAATTGAGTCCTGAAGAGATTGTATAATCTTTCTATAATATAGGTTTATCTTTCACTTTTTCTCGCTTTATTTCAATAATCGCAAAAATCCTAAAAGATATTAATTATACTGTTAAGTTATATTTATCATTATATTATTATTCATTTATTTA